TTGTTATTAGAAAGACACCCGCAGCGCATGTCGTGCTTTCTTTATTTCTGTCCCTCTCACGACACCCGCGGGACGATATGGGTTAGTGGATATGCTTACACCAGTGTTTCATTGTGAAAATGAAAGCAATAAACAAAAAATATTTTAACGCCCAAATGTGTTTTAAGTTCGGTATATTTTTGTTTATTACAGCATTAGGGTTTTCCCAAAACTTGCTAACATTTATTATTATAATTACTGGCCACATTAAATATGAAAAAATATAATTGGTCCTTACATATGAAAATGGCGTTTTGTACGGGAGGGCATAAAGTATAAAGTCAAAAAAATATAATCTTTTTTTTTTTTGTAAAATATATTTGATGTCAAAGTATGAACTGTTGTTACCTATGCACTTTTGCCATCTCATAGGTAGTTCATTGATCCCTTTACTAAAAAAACCATGGGGGTGAGAATCAGTAAACTCTTTGAAGGCGGTTTGAACTGCCGCATCGAAGTTAAATTTCTTCCTTGTAAGAAGTTTTCCAAATTCAGGAAAAAATGGTAATCTGTAGGAGCAAGTTCCGGGGATGGTACGGTGGAAGGCGCAGACATTCCAATTGTAGCTCTTCTAACTTAGTGGTTGTTTGTTGTGCAGTGTGTGGTCTTACGTTGTCGTTTAAGCAGCCGTGGCCTATAGCGATTGACCAATCTCGGTTGTTTAGCAGCTAGTTCTTCCTTCATGGTTTGCAGTTGTTGACAATAAATATCTGCCGTAATTGTTTGGCCAGATTTTAGCAAACTGTAGTGAACGACACCGGCGCTAGTCCACCAAACACTTACAAGTAACTTTATTCTGAGTCAATTTTCATTTAGGGCAGGATTTGACTTGATCTCCAGAGTTCAGCCATTGCGACGGGCACTTCAGATTATCGTACAGTATCCACTTTTCATCACAAGTAATGATTCGATTTAAAATCCCTTCATTTTTGTGTCGGTTGTGCAAAATAACACAGCAATCGATGCGTGTTTGCAAGTTCGATTCACTCAATTCATGAGGTACCCATCTTCTCTTCTTTAGGTGCCTCTCCATTACTGAAGGTCGGCAGTCATCCTTCTGAATTCTTCTTTGTTCCTAGCCTGAACAGATCTTCAACTTTCTTTATCCCAGTCCATTTCCGGATGTTACATGGTACCCATCGTTCAAGTTTTTTTTACTTTCCCGATTTGCTTCAAGTGGATTAATACAGTTTTAGCACTTATCCCGAAGCAGCTATCTCTGAAGTGCTTTGTGATGGATCAGCTTCTACAATAGCATTTAATTCTTCATTTTTCATTTCGGTCTCCGGCCGTCCACGGGGTTAGTTATGAAGGTCGAAATTTCTAGAACGAAAACTATGAAACAAAAAACGTACCGTGCCTTCTTTTGCGATACCAGCGCAATACACATCATTAATCCTTCGAGCTGTTTCTGCAGCACTGGTGCCATGGTAGAACTCGTACTCTTAAATATACCGATATCTCATGTTTTCTATTGTGCGGTAATAAGCCACGCCAAAGAAAAAAATAATGAGGAAAAAACAAATGAATGACTTTTTTCAAAAATCAGCTAAAAAAAATCATCAAATGTACCAGCTAAATTAATTTATTTGAATTTGGAAATCTTGATCAAAGAGGAGATATTTCAGATCAAAGTGGTCAGTACGACAAAACGCTAATTTCATATGTAAGGACCCAATATTTTCCATATTATGATTGTGTAAATTTACTGGTGTTATATATAAAATGAGACACAACGTGATCTAAATTTTAAGCTAAGTCATTTACCTACAATATAATGCTACCATTTAACGTGGTGGAGCCACACTGCAATATGGTTGCAGCATTAATGGGTAAACTTGATAACCGTATTGCTGGTTGCAAAAGATTTTATGTTATATATATATATACAATAAGCTGAGCATGGTTTTGGCTTAGTTTTTGCGTCTCTTGTAAAGTACTTAGGGTTACGTCTACCTTCCTTTGTTAATCCGAGCTGCTAGGGTTTGAGATATCTGAGATATCCTGAATACAAATTTGAGAGGTATTCCAAATTTGTCTTCAGGACATCTGTATTTTAACTTTAAATCAAGAATAGATTTGGGTATCTATGGGTTACACCATTAACTTACCATCAGGTGGGCTGTCCCGTTTTTCACCTTTAATTGTAAAAATAAATTAAATTGGATGATTACTATTCCACAAGATATAAGTCAGAAAGGTGAAGAGGAAGCCTATGTCTTGGCCTCTGAGAGGAAGCTTGTACCAAGCATTGGAACGTATTTATGTTGTAACTTCACTCGGATCAGAAGAGTTAGCTACTGTTTTGATTTAAATTAAAACTAAAACCCATAATCACAAAATATTTATCATCATTTTGTAGGCAATTTGCTTTTTTTTACTCCTAACATAGAAACTATTTCACTAATACGCGTGTTGACAAACTATATAGTAACGATTTTTCATATTACTTTAATATAAAAAGCATGGTTACAAATACAATCATCTATGTATCTATAGGACATTTATAGTATTCTGTGGCAAGTCTTCATAACTTTTAGTGTATCCATTATTTTTACACCTTATACTAAGAGTTCACCGCAATCGCCATGCTTAACTGGCAGTTTGGCGATCGCAATAGGGAGACTCTTCTCTTCTCTTACATGGTAGAGCCATGCTACAGCTATATTGTAGTTGTAGCATGAATGAGTCGGCTCGACCGGGGAAGGACCACGCTCTCACAGAATACCAGCGTAAAATAGTAGCTTAATGCTGCTTTGTTTCGTATGGTGAGTGTAGAGAACCGGAGACCCTTTTTACTGGAAACGGGACATTCATCTCAGTTCTCAGAGGTGACAACAAATCTGCATTTCTTTTCTTTTATTGAGGACAGCAAACAATTACTTAATAATGCTTAAACCGAATAACAATTTATAAATAATATTAGTCTTAGTCATTATATAACCAGCACCGTTATCCACAAAGTAAAATTAAATTGGTAACAATATATAATAAAACACACTAAACAGATTATAAGTATATCGAGAAAACAAATAAAGTTGACAATACTCCGTAACATTATAAATCAAAAAGAGACAAAATATAAAGAGATGAACTTGCTAATAATAAGTTTGTCTTGTAAAATATTAAGATACATTTGAATGTCTAACAATCTTCTTAGAACGGTCTTGCGTTGTAATTGCGATAGAGTGAATAGGTCAATATTTGAAAAAAAAGTGTTATTTATTTTCGTAATACGTCTTAATGGGGCGCACTCACCTGCATTGGTTTTACATAATTTAGGCGCAAACAATTTATGTGTGTACACATCTCTAATACGTTGAGAACGACTAGGGACACGGATATATGTATATTTTGTTAAGTAGTTCATTACAATCTAAGTCATTTAGAATTATTTTAATAATAGTATTTTGTCAAAGTGTATTCTTCTTGCTTTTAAAGTGTGAATTTAAAACTTTTTTAGTAAGTTGCCGTACGATGATTTAGCGTGGTAACATTTATAATTTATAAAACGAAGAAGCTTTGCTTATAATGATTCTCGAAGATTACCGTATTTATTATAATAGGGGTTCTATACTTTCGTTGCATATTCAATTTGTGGTCGGATAAGTAATTTAAAAAGCATGTGCTTTTTATGTCATCCTCATTAAAACCCTTCACAAGTCCACTGCTGAACATAGGCCTCCCCTAAATAATGCCACAAAGCACGGTCCTGAGCCACCTGCATCCATCGACTTCCTGCATGTCTTACCAGGTCGTCACTCTATCTAGTGGGGGGTCGCGCTACACTACGCCCACCAGTACGAGGCTGCCACTCGAGAACCTTTCTTCCCCATCGGTTATCGGTTCTTCGAGCTATATGGCCGGCCCATTGCCACTTCAGCTTACTAATCCGTTGGGCTATGTCGGTCACTCTGGTTTTACTGCGGATATCCTCATTTCTGAGTCTATCACGCAGTGAACAGCTTTTTATGTGATCCTATATAAATTTTATTAAGATCTGACCAGTAGTTTTTGAGTTATCCTGATTAAATCGTATTTAATTGACTTCGAATACATTGTAATGTTCTCGTTTTATTTATATTGAAAATTTTAGTTTCACCACTAGTTCATGAAAATAATACAACGTGTTTGTTTTCAGGCGCGGAACAAACCAGCAGATGGAGGCGGTCATGTCAATCAGAAAAACGCTGCCGGTCAAAAAGCAACCCCACCGTGTCAAAAAGGTAATATAGCTTTACATTACTTATAAGTATGTTAATAATTCATTAGTAAATAAAATTTATTCTAAGAATTATAACCTATTTGGTAATGATAGTCAGTTCCTTATCACCGACTGTTTAAGAAAGTGGGCTTGTTAGGATGTATTAACACTTATAACGTGCACGTACACATCTGTGTTTGTGTTTGTATACATTTAACGTTACGGCCTATAAAAAGTTCACTGCTGAACATAGGCCTTCCCCATAGATAGCCTCCGGGGGGTATTTGCCATAGATAGAGAACTGTGGTTGCTACCTCGCCTGCCGAGTGCGGCAGCCTGGCAACCAAACTTTTATTTTTATATTTTAGTTGCTATTGAGAAGACGCTGCTGCCCATCTGCTTTGTTTCACGCTGTCTTATGCCACGGACGGAATGATATAGTAAAATACAATACCACAATGTATACTGTAAACTTACCACTAATGTTATTAATATAAAAAATAATGTTTATTTCTTTGTACAGTACGCATTCCCATTTATACGATTACAATTTACAATAAAACTTTGGTAAAATGTAGTGCGCGCACCCGCGAAGTTATCTAATAAAAAAACATAAATAATAGTTTCTTTGTATTTTCGTTTTATATGCATGCCTTTAACATTCATCCGATCACGACGAAACTTTGATTAATTACGGGCAGGCGCTCGTGTATTTTCTGACAAGGCCTTTAAAATCTTGTATAAAAAATTGTAACATATGTTTTATGCACATAGGTGCGGCAAACAAAGGTGGTCCGAAAACCCCCGTGAAGCCATCAGCACAGAAAGGAGCAGCAAAAACAGCCCCACCAAAACAAGCCGCGGCTGCGGCAGTGAAAACGCCCCAGGGGAAGAAGAAGAAAGGTCACAAGCACCAGCAGTACGAACTGATAGTCACGATCAATTTAGTAAGTTTTAATTCATCCAGCCACCAATTTCTCATCAAAATAATTATTCAAATGATGGATATGGACCACACCCATCTTTTGAATAATAATGATACCTATCATTTAAATAAGTATGAGATATAGGTATATCGTAAAACAACTGATTAGGCTCATATCTGCCTTAATTTTACGTATATTATATATTATTTTATCTTAAGTCTGAATAACGCCACTTTGTTAGATAGCAACCAGTAGAAGGCACGGTGGATGGCTACTATTAAATAAAATGAATGTGCTATTGTATATATATTTATTTACGTGGAAAAAATCTGTTATAATTTACAAAAATTTTATAATGCAATAATATTACTTTATAAAACAAAAAAAAATATCAAATTATTAAAAAAAGATAATAAATAGAATAAATACATTTTTCCTTTCTTTTATAGCCATATATATATATATATATATATATATATATATATATATATATATATATATATATATATATATATATGTATATATACCATTTTATTATATATTTTATTCATCATATTTCACACATTTTAGTTTTCAGGGTGAAAACGTATAATTTTGATACTTCATCGAGGATAAGTGTAGTATATGGGCCACAGTATCCACTTACTATCAAGTAGACTGTGTGCTCTTTTGTTACCCTTATTCTTAAAAAAATTCACTGCAGCACCCGTTGCTATACAAACATTGTACAACTAAATCAAAACTTAACGAATGCAATTTCTATTTTTAATATTAAAATTATAATATTTAAATATTTCTTAAACTTCGCGCAGCGGAAATTTGAAACAACCGCGCATTCTTAGTCTCGTCAGTAACCTATATTCTAGCTTTCAGTTTATTGATTGTGAAAAATGTTTTACGGCGTTTTTATTTTGTTTAGGAATAAATGTTTGCAATCAAAGTGTTTCCAGCTGTATTCGGGTGTGCTAATCGAATTGTAATTCAAGAGCCGTTTTTATTACGACTTTAATGACTTAACATAGAGTATTAAAGCTGGATTTAACGATGTTACGTTGTTTGATGCCTACCGTGCCGTTATACAATATGTAACAAAAACCTTGTGGTTCCCGTTAAGTGCGTATATCAGAAACAGTATTCAAACGTATAGAAATAATTTTACTTTAAAGAAGTCGATCATAAAAAAATAATTTAATAATTTTAATAAATATTTTTTTATTCGCATATTGTAGGGGGCAAAGGCAATTGTTGCAAACTATATCCACCTCTAACTGACAAACTAAAGCCTCTAATACATCTCTAACACTAATATACGAGTCTTCTCTTGCGACACTCACACGTTGACAAAGGGTGATAAAACAGGATGGACAGCATTATCTTCCTGATGATAACTGAAACCAATAAAAACTGCCTGCTATGGCAAATATCCTTTCTTTAAGTTAATTTAATGAGGGTGTGTCTACGTTCAGTTGTGGACTTTCGATAGGTTTAAATATGGATGACAATAATGATATTAATTTGCAAGACAAAGGGAAACAAAAAAGGAGCATCCTCTTGATAACACTTAATAATATTAAAAAACTGAACTCACCTGAAACCTCGGCAACTTTGGCAAACATCATTTTACGGATGTTTAATTCTTCAAATTGGCTTTTCTTCGCCATAAGTTTTACCTTAATGAGAAATCTTACTGAGGACCGATAATATCTCGTGGCTACTAAGTGGCTGACTTAGCAGTCCGGTCCCGTCGGCCGCCGTTGAGTCTTCATCACCTGAAGATGCCTCGTGTAGAGGCGAAACACGTGTCGTATTATCGTCGATGGTGTTTCTTTCCTGGAGTAGTGGTGTTGGAAGTAGTGGTGCAGGAAGTAGTGGTGTTAAGAGTAGTGATGCTGGGATTAGTGGTGACGGGTTTGGTGCACGCAATTGAGGGAGGGCGGAATTGCTCTTCAATCTAGGTAAGACACATCATTGTATTTAATTAAGCGGAGCATTGCAAATTATATATTAATATCTTTATTATAATGTATTTCCGCAAAGTAAAGCCTGATTTTATCAATTACCTGGAGACCTAGCCAAATCCTGCCCTAAACGAAAATTGACTCAGAAAAAGTTACTTGTAAGTGTTTGGTGGACTAGCGCCGGTGACGTTCACTACAGCTTGCTAAAATCTAGCCAAACGATTACGGCAGATATCTATTGTCAGCAACTGCAGACCATGAAGGAAGAACTAGCTGCTAAACAACCGAGATTGGTCCATCGCTCTAGACCACTGCTGCTTCACGACCACGCAAGACCACACTCTGTACAACAAACAACCACTGAGTTAGATGAGCTACAATTGGAATGTCTGCGCCATCCACCGTATTCCCCGGACCTTGCTCCTACAGATTACCATTTTTTTCGGAATTTGGACAACTTCTTACAAGGAAAAAATTCAACTCCGATGCAGCAATCCAAATCACCTTCAAAGAGTTTATTGATTCTCGCCCCCATGGTATTTTAGTAAAGGGATCAATGAACTACCTAAGAGATGGCAAAAGTGCAAAGATAACAACGGTGCATACTTTGATTAATGAAATATATTATACAAAATAGAATTGATTTTATATTCCTCCCGTACAAAACGCCAATTTCAAATGTATGGATAAATGCAGACATCTATGGGCCACAGCATTCATTCACCACAAAGTAGACTGAGTGATCGTTTGTCACCATTATTCTAAAAAAAAATTGAAGGCAACGGATAAATTAATGCCTGATTTTACTGATACTTGGTTGTTTATTACACTTGTCTCAGTTTTTACATTTATAACCTGAATAATACTAAACCGTTTCTATCGCTACAGGCGGTTAAGTGCTCTAGTTGAAATAACCTATGAACGACTCAAATTTTATGACCTGTACCAACTATACATGGCGTAAAAATGTTTCAGTCCACCGCTTTCTTTAATTACTGTGTAGACTAGACTGTACTTAATTTTAGTTTTAAAACAAAACTTTAGTGAGTAAGGCCTATAGGTCAGAATATTTGGTTAAGTTATAACTATTTAGTTTTGTTGCGCGCCATTATTATTCTGTTTGGCCAGACGCTGGATTGGGTTCTTTCGAAGCCAACAAGTGCATATTTTTTTTAATATTTCTTTTTTCTACTCACCTATTATAACGGGGACACTTTATCTTTGATGCTTCGTAATCTGATTAAAATATTTTATAACCCATATAAAAAAGCGTCCTCTATTGTAAAACGAAAAAAAAATGTCTTAGAATTGTTTCAACTGTAGATGGCGCTGTTAATATCTCAACTTGTATTAAAACCATCCATCCACTTATTCATTATTATCTAAGTCATTGTAAAAGTCTATAAAAGTCAATTGCTGAACTAAGGCCTCCCCTCCCATAGCCACAGCTGCCACGCTCGGCGGGTGGGTTGGCAACCGCTACTTTTTTTATGATTTTGAGTTGTTATCAGGAAGATGCTGTTGCCCATCTCCTGTTTCAGTTTCCCTCCGTCATCTCTTACGACACCCACTACATAGGGCAGTGGATATTTTTAAACTGCCACTACACGGTTAGTTGTAAATCCATGTAAAATAATTTCATTTCATTTCATGACTATTTTGTTTATATAACTGCCTTATTGATCTAATAATCGTAAACGCTATTGTTGATCATGAGCTCCCGGGTTCGAATCTCGGATCGGACCAACATCAATTACTGGGTTTTTTCTGTCAAGAAAATTTTATTAGAAGTCTGGAGTCAGGAAGTTGGCGGTGTTTCACCCTCGTGCTTCAGAAATCATATAAATATTTTGGTCCTGCGCCTGATCTCTCTCACTTCGTGTTGGATTCCCGTCCCATCGGACCATGAGAGTGAGGGAATAGAGAGTGCACCTGTGCTTGAGCATACACTTGGGCACTATAATCGTGCCCTGCGCAGATGGCTAGTATACGTTGAGACTGGCCGAAATTCGGTCTGGAAGAAGTTATTATTATTATTTTGTTTAAGTTTGGTATTCAGAAACCGTTATGTTGAAATTATTGGTCGATATCTTCGTTAATTGTGAAACAATTTTTTTTAATTAGAGAAGTTATACTTGAGGATGGAACTAAAGAAATTTGAAGAAACATCGCACCGCTAAGGGTGGGAAAATAGCGGATACAATGTTTTATTAGAATTATTTATTGTGATTATAAATTGTGATATTCCTTCTTCCACTCCACAAGTTATTTTTACCCTTTAAAATAACTTTGAATTAAAGTAAAAGCTGACTTCAACACCTAAAATGAAAGTGATACATTGTACGATACGCTGTACAATCTTAGAAATGATAAAAACTGATAAAGACTTGAACTGATTATTTAATTTATTCCAATATTATTGATTGTGAGTACAATTCGCGACGGTGAATTATTGCATACTGAATTTATGAGAATGAATTTTGATACAATAAAGTAAAACTGCTGATGTGAAGAAATGTGCGGTTTGTAAAGACAAGAGTTTCTATACAAAATATCTTAGCAGCGACCCCAGAATGTGAATTATTTTATTTTTTTAATTAATTAAAAGATAATCTTTTAAACCCTTCGAAATTTCCTAAAAGATCTTATGGGTATATCGTATCTTTTTTAATTAATGTGGCCTATAAATATTTACATTTATCCTCGATTAAGAATCCAAATGCAGATGCGTTGTCACCCATGTGAACTAAGACGAAATGCCTGGTTTCCAGTAAAAAGGGTCTCCGGTTGTCTACACTTACCATACGAACATTTTCCTACGCGGCAACATTGAACGGCTATTTTACGCTGGTATTCTGTGAGAGCGTGGTCCTTCCCCGATCGATTTCTTTTAATTCTATGTAATTCTCTGGCCTCGTAATTACGTAAGAAAACGATATTTATCTCAACATTACGTTTATGTCATGACCATAAATTAAAATATCATAAATGCTTATTGAAAAAACCATAGCAATCTGATTTTCTGGTCAGATTGGTCGGTAACTTTCTAAGGTATTTTAATGGTAAAACAAATATAAACGTTTTTTGTTGTGTTTGATCAAACCACTTATTTTTCTTATTTTATTATATATTATATTAATAAATTCAAAATGGCGTGCAATTATATCTCTATATATAAGTATTAATTACTGTACAATTTTGTTAATTTTTTTGTGTGTGCTTGAGTTTTTGTATGCCCTGGATGATCTAAACAGTTCACTATTTGACCCGGTAGGTGGCGCTATGGTCGAGATCCAAAAATCACCCGAGCGAAGCCGGGGCGCGTCGCTAGTTAGCAATAAATATAATACAACTACGAAGATCAGAACAACTGAAATTAAATTTATAAACCGCATATATTTTTGTTGAAAATATCGATATCGAAAATAGCAATTTCTTAAAATAAAGCAGAACTCTTTAGATCGAGGAGTCACGCATTCCAAAATAAATCTGTGAACTTTAAAACGATGGTATAAAGTCTAAATCTCCACGACTGTTTACAAAGATTACTTCAAGAAGTCACAGATGTAATTTTAGGCATTGTTGAAGTATCCATAATTTTCCCGCCAAAACTAACTCGTTCCAAGTGATTACGTACGTGCCAAGATCGTGGGAATATTTATCTGTTCTACAGTGGCCGAATTATTTCATAGTATTTTTTTTTTTTGTAATTTTGAATGTTAGTATTACTACTTACTTAACTACATAAGAGCATACTATATAGGTAATGAATTATTGGTGCATATTAATGCTATTTAGGAATATATATATATATATATATATATATTGTAGTGTTGATAATTTTTAGTTACATATCGATAAATATAAGCCTTTCATTAAAATTTTACGTTCCCTGAATGGATTTTCTTTTGCTGCCACTTAGCACCACAGCGAGCACACGTTCACAGTATCACTTGGACAAAAGTTATTCATCCTGACTGAACATAAAGTTGAAACAATCGAATTGTTTTTGTAAACTTCTTCATTTATTTGTTGATGTTGTATTTTATTCTATGAATATATTTTATTTTATTTGATTTTTCGAGATTAATATCAGATCTTTGTTAAAGAATATGGCATTGAAAATGCTTGAAGACGAAATAAGAATAAAATAAGTTATCAATTTAATAAATCATAACCAGGTAAATATAAAAGTAAAACACTTCAACTATTATTTATTCATCATACTGCAATTTTTAAATTGTTTATGTTGTATTTTATCCTACTAATGAATTTTACCTGATGTTTGAAAAATCGGTCATTTAACAAATACTTAATCATCTTCATCAGACTAAGCCGTGGTTCGTAGCTCAGATGGTTAACGCTCGCTGTAAATATAACAGAACGCGGGCTCGATCCCCGCCGGCACCAATGAAATTGTTAATTGAAATTTAAGTGCTGATTTACCATGGTGCCACGGCGGTGCCCGAAAACATCGTGAGGAAACTTGTTGCATTGGAGCATTGTGCATGTCTGAGGAACAAGAAAAAAATTTCGAAGATATGTGAAGTTCGCCAACACGCATTGGGGCAGCGCGGCAGACACTTCCGTGCCCTAAACCCTTCTTAGAAATGAGGGGAGGCCTGTGCCCATCAGTGGAACGTATAAAGGCTGTAACTTTACTTTACTTTACTTCATCAGACTACAAAAGTCCAAAACTGAACATAGGCCTCAATAACAAAACTAGTGTAGTATAAAATTAAATTTAATCGAATATTAATTATAAACAGATTTGCCGTTTATATATGCATATTTAGTTACCTATGTCAAATTATGTTGTTTTTTATGCGTTAGTATCTGATTTGAGTGAGAAATCTGATTCAATAAGCTTATCGTACTGATTTTATGGTTAAACTGTTTTACTTTAAGTATGAATTTTCTGTTTGACCTACCCAGAACAAGCTCAAAAGAAGCTTACACTATCTTTAAAAAACTATATTAAATGATTACATATCTTTTAAAAAGCACGTTTTAAACGTTTATTGTCTGATCTAAAAGCGTGAATTCAGTTTAAATAAATACGTCATGTGATATTATCAAACTACATTTACTACATAGTATTTTATATAGTTAATGTTTCAAAGTGTTTTGCATGAGCATGGTAAGAACCAATTTAAACTTAACAAACAAAAATAAATATATGACCCCAATCAAACATCTGCTGCCACTCTAGAACAACCTTCGTTGTTAAAGCGCAAAAATCCAATTTAAATATAGTCTACATATAACGAAGCTGAGCTGACAATGTCACGCCGCTTGTGTCAACTACAATCTTTGTACAGCATTAAAAATATAATAAACGTTTTCGGGCCAGTTAAGCCTTCATGAGCCAAGTGTATTGAATTTAATCAAAGAGTTTAAGGTTAAATTGTGTAAAGATTTTTGTTTTTAAATTGTGTAGTGTTACCTATATTATTTTGTGAAGAGTGGAACAAAAATAAAAAGACGAGTAATAAGTGCACTCTATATTAAAACCTGTTATAATTTAATGTTTAAATTGTTGTCATGGCAGAAACGGAAAGCAAAGAAGATATCTATAACAAGGAATACAGAAGAATACGGCGTATAACTAAAGATTTAGAAATTCGACAGATTTCCGTAGGTTTTTATTAACAGACATATTAAGGAAAATATATTTTATTATTATAGTTATTATAAATGCTTAATTTAAAATTAAAAGTTATTTATAAGCATTTGAAAATCAGAAATAGTTTTAAAATACGCATCTTGCATTGTTTTTTTTTTTTGTTTTAATTATTTAACTGTGATCAATTTTTTTAAAACAAATTACAGTATTCACTTTGTCAACCCACAATTTTATTGCCTAACACAATTATTGATTTAATTGATAATAAAATAGAAACAAAAATACTCCATTTTGTCCAGGGAGTTATAGGTCCCATTTTTATGTGAGACTTATCATAAAAAGGTATGTGCCTCAATCATCTAGCATGTTGTAAAAAACAACTAATGGAATCAATCAATCAAAAAAAAATAGTTCTTTAGACTCTGCCTACCCCTTCGAGGATAGCATGCGTGACGTTATATTTGTATTGCATTTCGGTATCACAAAGCTATAATATAATTTTTGGGACTCCTTTGTTAGTATATTTGGGTTTATTGTATTATTATATTGTCTCTATATTTACAATATCGATTATTTAGTTATCACTTCAGGGGACATCTAATTCAGTTTCGGGAAGGTTAAACACTGGTCTCAGCTTGAGACCACAGTAGCATTAATTATTTCACGAAATTAGCAATAATTCTAAAATATTACCGATTGTAATCTAAAAATTAATTTGTGTGTTAAATGTGCAAGGAGCTGCCATTATCCTATATATTACTGTTAAAGCCAAACAATGTCCACTACCGGATATAAGCATAAGCTTCCCCCGTAGATTGCCCCACAGAGAGGATATCTGCCACAGCTGCCACGTTTGGCAGGCGGTCAACCTGCTGCCCTGGTTTGTTTCCCTCTGTCGCCCCTTACTACAGCATCGGGACGATATGGGGTAGTGGATATTCTGCACGGTGGTGGATATTCTACACGTTATATAGGAAAGGTAGAAGTTGTTATATATTTATTACTAAATATCGTTAACACAAAAGTTATACTCTTTCAGGTTGTTTTCACACTTAATATGTAAGATATTAAAGGAAAATTATTTTGTAATTTCAGTCTGAATATGGCCTTACGGAGGAACAAGTTGCAGGTAAGATATTTTACAATATCAGATTTACTTAAATCCCCAATTTCCTTGTCAGATGAGATATTCTAATTTCCGTTTTGTTGAAATTATTTCTGCAATAAAAAACGAGCGACTCTACATTTAAAAAAAGAATTTTCTTAAATTCGCTATTCGTATATTTACGCTTATGTTTGAGAAAGTTTGTCATCCTTAGAGTCCACCGCAGCACGTATGTTTTCCTTTGATATTTAACTTGTAACGACATAAACTCTTTTCTTTATTAGAAACATAATTATGTAGGACTTACGAAAATATATCATTTGACTTTATTTTAAATATAGCTGAAGTAATAAACGAATTAGCTCAACTGAGAACGAATTAGCTTAATTAAGAATTAAGTACTTCAACCCATGAAGACTTGCAGCCAACTGCAAATAAGGAAAGCAATAGATTTGTTGTCACCTCTGAAGACTAAGATACAATTTAATATCTACCTATCAATCTAATTATCTATTTTTTATGTATTATAAGCTAATTCTTGAATGCTATCCCATCTGGTGGTGATTGGACTGCATCACCATACAGCAGATGGTTAAGCGCTCAGACTTGACTTAACAAATAACAAAAGGCTATTCATTCTTGCCTTGAAGATACTAACTTCATAATCGAATGGAAATACGGATGATTATTTCACTGCTTTGCTGTACGCATTAAGTACGAAACAAAAAGGCGTAGAGGCCATCCGAACGTCTAGTGGTCCGATAATGGAATGTAGAGGGAGAAAGTATGTCATGCGATTGCTAAATTTACGCTTAGAACTTAATTGCCTTCTTTTATTTTAGAATTCAAGGAGGCGTTTATGCTGTTCGACAAGGACGAAGACGGCACGATCACGATGGCTGAACTGGGCGTCGTGATGCGATCACTTGGTCAGAGACCTTCGGGTAAGTTGAGCATTTTTATAAAATAAGTACAAACGAGTACACATTCCACCTGACAGTAAGTTGATTTTGTGGCCCATTTACATGTTGTCACCCCTAAATAATAAGATGGAATTCATCTTTTTCAGTAAATAAGGTCTCTGGTTCTCTAAACTCGTCATTCAAATCACAGCCTTCACTGGTTTTCTATGAGAGCGTAGTCCTTCGAACTACAACAATAATATAGCAGCAGAATGACTCAACCACGTTTAATTTATTTAGTTTATATGAGTTTCCGCTTAAACCGAATTCGAAGTCTGTCTACGTATTGAGAGGCCTATATAACATAAACTGTTAAAAGTGATGAAAAGAGAAAGAAAAAAATATAAGGCTAATAGCTTTAATTTAGCCTAGAATCCGAACTCTAAAAAGGTTTTACTCCTAAAATCACTATTATTCATTAAAGAAAGAAATAAAAACAAGAAAGGACATTCTTTCGTCATTCACAATTGTCATCAATCCCTCACTAAATCTTGGCAAAATAAAGTTCAGGATAATGTTAGGGAGGATTCTGGATTGAAGGACGCAAAAATGTTACTTGCTTAAACTTAATGTAAATTAGGTACTGGTATACAATGCAAATTACGTATTATGTACCTAACATTAAGTTAGAATGAATAGCCATAAAATGTACCAAATGTGCCAGTATCATTAGTTCCAGCGGTCGCGTTGCGAGATGCTCGTATTTCGCGAAACCGCAAGTCTAATGTTTGTTTATATTTATACTCGTCGATACATTAGCATTAAATAGCTACACTATATTGTAGTAGTTAGGTAGGTGGCATCATAATTAATAAATCGTTAGATCATTTGAATTTGCTACAGATAGTGTTTCAATACTTAAACGGTTGTTTAAATTATATTAGGTGCTTGTTTGAAAATATACAAACATGACATTAATTTGAAAACAAGAATTATGACAGTGATATCACAATAAAATATATATGTACCTTCTTTAAATTCTTATAAGATTTCTATTAGTTTTTATTTTGACAGTTCATGAAAAGTGTTTCATCGGCAACGGACGCCCTGCATTTTCTGCCACCAGGGCGGCGCCACTTACGTATTATATACTTACGCTATTTTATAATTTCATTAAAATTTCAAATAGCGATTGTGCTAATTAAATTCGATTTATCGGAGTTAACCATCATAATGTAACAAGCTGAGTCAACATATTTTATACCATTGTTATCTTAACGAGGCAAGAATCAAAAATTTCCGAGTATCAGAAAGTGATACCGACTCTACACAAACCGAACAATAACGATAATTTGAATTAAGTGCCAAAACCCTTGCCAAATGCCTTTCTAACTACCGAAGAATGGCTATAAATAACTGCGACAATAAACTGTCTGTCCATTCGCGTTTGTTCCAAGATATTTTAACATTGGAGATTCATATTTTACTCGTTATCTTAATAACGACATAATACTTAGGTATATTTAATATGTCAACACTTCAAAGCATGATTGTATATCTTAATTTTCCGCAATAATTAAGACCTAATAATATAAGGTCAGAATTGTATGGGACGTATGTCAATTTTTTTTTTATAGAAGAGGGGGCAAACGAGCATGCGGCTCACCTGATGTTAAGTGACTACCGCCGCCCATGATCAACCGCAACACCAGGGGAATTGCAGGTGCGTCCCCAGGTCGTATCGGTCCGGAAAAATCGCCGGTGGTAAACTATTTCACAGAGAGGTTGTACGCGAGAGAAAACTCCTTTTGAAACGTACAGTGGTGCACCGCCAAGCATCCAGATGGTGTGGATTGTGTCGGGACGTTTGCCGCGTAATGCGTTCACGAAATTTGGCGGCTGGGATTAATCCGAACAATTCCTCAGAGCACTCCCCGTGATAGATGCGATAAAATACTCAAAGAGACGCAACATCTCTTCGCAGTGCCAGTGAATCGAGCCGATCGGAAAGCACTCGGTCGTCGACGATTCGAGCCACTCTGCGCTGGATGCGGTCAAGTGGAAGGAGCTGGTACTGGAGCCCTAGCCCAGAGATGGGAACAGTATTGTAAAGTTGCAGGCGGTGTGCTGGCATGAAATACTGTCCCGCTCTGCTGAGCACGCCAAGCTTTTTAGAGGCCAATTTGGCCTTCTCTTCCAAGTGACCACGAAACCGCACGTCACTCGATATGTCGACGCCGAGGATTCCGATACTGGCTGAGGCAACAAGGGCAGTGCCTTGAAACTGAGGAGATACGACAAAGGGGTTATTTTTAGCGGTTAACGCGCAAACTTGTGTCTTCTGGGGGTTAAACTGGACTAGATTTAGTCGCCCCCAATCCGAGACTCTGTTCAGCAAAGACTCGACTTCAGACACAAGTTTGTACCCGGCACTCGAAGACGTTTTCCCGAGAAATATTGGCTCGGCCGGTGTAAAGAGCATTACCAGTGCTGTCATCTGCATAGCAATGAATGTTACGGGTTTGCAACATATCATTGATATCCAGAAGAAACAGCGTTGGCGATAGCACTTATACTACTACTTACTAGCACTTAGCACGATTGAGGGAGATTCCGTCAGGCCCACTCGACTTGTGGATGTCCAGGGAGAGGAGTGCTTTGCGAACCGAGCGCTGTGTGAACTGCACTTCCGGCATGGAGCACTCACACCGCGGGGTGGTCGACGGCGTACTCTCCCAAAAATACTTAAACTCTACTTAATTTAAATTGACGTAAAGGCTTGTCACGTGCAGCATCTTCAAATTGAGTTGCGTTTGAATGTTTGAGCAGTAGTTATACAAAGATGCGTATTTATGTCTACGATCCGAAGATTTTTCAACTACTTTTAGAAGTAATTGAAAAATTTTCGGATCCTAGCAAAAGCTTTTAGAAGTATAAAAAAACATAGTTTCCTAAATACGTTACTATGATACATATAACTATATTATAACACATACATATCTAATACAACGAAAACGTAATTTGAAAATAGCAATTTTACATGAGAGCAAATATAACAGTTTTTTTTTTTGTTAAATCTTATTCGTTCTATATTAAACAGTGTCTCGTTGTAGCTTATATCAAAGTAAAACTTAAGGCTTGCATAAATTGCGTAATATAATAACGTCCTACTTTTATTTGGCTTTTGATCAATTGATCTTTATTTTATCAAGTTAGATAAAATAAAGATCAATTGCTGGAAATCATTCAAGACATTTATTTGTGAAGGATCATTTTCAATTTTCTTGGATAAATAATAAACAACGAGAAAAATTTCGAAAAACATTTGTAGAGATGTATTGCATACAACATTTCTGGCGGAATTATGAAAAAAAATGTCTAGTAACATCATTGTTGTATTTTGTATGCGATCAATAGTATGATTGCTACAGAAAAAGTTAAAAAGTTCTCGTAAATCAGGCGATAAGCATTTACCGTACAAAAGCAAACGGGGTTCGATCCCTGCCGGTACCAATAGCATTGATTAACTACAATTTTAAGTGCAGCTTTACCACGTGGTCGTCGGTATGAGCAAATACCGCGAGAAAATCTGCATTTTTGATCAATAGAAAAAGTATTAAGAACTTATATAAGAACATATGAAGTCTGCCAACACGCACCGTATCGGACTCTCCCTTATACCGAAACTATTTTATTTATTTTAACAAAAATTCGTTATGGATTAAAAAACTGGTTTATGAGAAGTTAGATATAATTATTTACTATGCCTTAAAAATAATTCCATGAAATTATTCGTAAGAATATTGTGGTGTCATCGAGAAATGTAAATAATTAGAGTCCACTTTGAAAAATTTTTCTATCGAGAAAATTACATGATATTGTGTTTTCCTTTTATGCTTCCAAGATCATATAGTCAAAAATCATATAAGTACCAAAATTTTGGTTTGTAATCTATAAAACTTTAAAAAATATGTTAAATAGAAAAACCACAAAATTTTCGAGGTATCACCTTAAATTTACTGGCTCATTTGAGGAGCGCGTTAAGACGATAATTATACTTTTAAAATAAAAGTGAAAACCGGCTTCTTAAAAGTAAATGTAATGAGGTAATTACCACATAGCTTCTGAAGTCGCTTGGTTTTTTAAGTGTAATTGTTCAAAATTAAACCATTTATTATTTCTAAATACAAAAAAGAATAGCGATAGCCACACACTTTTTCTAAATGCCACACTAGGAATTCTAAATATTTTTATTTACCTAACGGCGCCTCTACACGTGGGCCAACACAGTGGCGAATGTAGTGGCCAATAGCATTGGAACGTAAGTATGTATTGGAACGATGGCCCGCAAGTTGGCGCGAGATCCGTGTGGTGTCGGTTTTTTACAAAAGATCAAAGGATTGTTGGCAGAGTTTGGTCGCCGCGTCCACACGTTGGCCGCGAGTTTAGTTAGCTACAAGCTCCCAGAGTGATTACACGCATCTGATTAAAATTTTATATTCACGCTTTGTAGGGTGGATGACCCAATTACCAGCCTTTTAGTGCCAATTTCAACTTTAAACATTCCTACTACTTTAATTAGCGCGATTTAATTATTTTTAAAACATTTGTTTAAACGGATAAGCTATTTATAAAAAAAATAATGAACATTTATTTACAATCAGATTATTACGAGAACAATTGAAAAATGAAAAAAAAATGAAGCACGTCGTTTATACGTGGTAGAACCATGCAGTTATATTAGAAGTATAGTTGTACCACGAATGGGTCGGTTCGACCGGGGAAGGACCACGAATATCAATGTAAAATATTAGCTTAATGATACTGTGTTTCGTATAGTGAGTGTAGAGAACCAGAGACCCTTTTTAAAGGAAAGAGGCATTTCATCTTAGTCCTTACGGGTGACAACGCATCTGCATTTTGATTCGTAATCGAGGTTAGATGTAGATGACTGTGGGCCACAGTAACCACTTACCATCAGGTGAACTGTGTGCTCATTTGTCACCCTATCCTATAAAAAACGTCGATTTCTTATAATTTAA